GAATGGAGTTGCAATGTACAATTGGCGTCTGTGATTCCGCATCGTTTAATGGTGCAACATTCGTGTCTATATTCTGCCCGCACCTTTTCGTGTGAAAACTATCCGAAGTCTCTCTCTCTTTCTCTCTCTCTCTCTCTCATGCAAAAAGAGCACCGCCGAAAACCGCATTATCTTACAAAACAACCACTAAATATTAAACGAACGTTTTGCAATTTTTCATTACACCTCGTCATTCCTCGTTTATTATCGTTTATGTTTTTAAGACTGTAACGAGCTATCTTCACAAATATCGCTTTCAACTCGATATTGAGAAGATGCACTTAGGAAGAGATTTGGAAGGAGTAAATCAAAAATAAAATTAGTAAAAGACTGATAAATATGCAAGATTAAAAAACAAAAAAAATGTCCCGAAATTGATATTAAAAAATTTAGGAAATAATTATCTACAAAATTATATACTTTCTGATCCATGATTAGTATGAAAGTTTTTGATGCTAAGCTCATAGATATTTATTGATTTATAATTAGTCAGGTATAATTGTAAATATAATCAACACAATGCGTTATCAAAACATTACGCATATTCAGAGAATAATTAATATAATTTGAAATCTGAAGAATAATTTGGGGGAAGGGGAAGACATAAAATCAGTAATCGATGCATACTAGTTTCAGCGAAATAAAATTCAAGAGAGTGTGCTAAAATAAAAAAATAAATATACTGAACAACGAATGCAAATTTTCAAACATTCACATTTGTGTTCGTTGTTTGCACGTTTTTTTTTGCATTGTACCAAACATTCAAACATTTAAGCTTGCACACAAATTTTTTTCGATGTATTACCTCGTGAATAGATTCAAACACAAATCAAATGCTGACAAACATTCCATTTGTAATTATGATATATGCATCTTTCAAACTTTAACAAATATTTGTTGTTCGTTTATTCAATATTTATTTTTTAATATGTATGCATTTGGCAATTATAAAAAATCAGCGCATTTTTCGTCACTTTAAGAATCGCGACACGTTATTTAAGAATTTCTAGGCCGATACGCGCGTTCATGCTAGGCGTTTCACTTGACATTTAATCCTTTGTACGCCGGATGCATCATCTATCGCGGTGCATTATTCGCGTCAGGCATCTTTACAACGTATATTTGCAGATGTTTACAACGTATTATTTGCAGACGATGTAGATGATGTACTGCGACGCACTAGAATGTCATCAGTCGCACAGATAATTGACTGCATTATATTTCGCAGGTAATTTTATATCAAATGTCAGCGACGCGATAGAAAATTACGTTATTATGTACATATAATTCTTTATGTAATATAAATTAAAATGTACACATATCCTAAAAAGAAGAATTAAAGAGTAATTCAGGAAAAGTCTCACTGTCAAATTCCACTATAGCCAAATTAATATAAATATTCTCAATACTTTTGGAAATACTTTTAAAAATAACAATTATTAAAATTATATAAATAAATTATGCATGTAATATAATAATTTAATGATCAGAAATGTTAATTTAATATTATAGAAATTTTTGAAATTGACAGAAATGTGCAGAAATGTTGGTTTTATGACACATTGGTTATTATGTAACGTACACCTAAATATTTTACATAAAATATTCATGCGATCTTTATTGCATTCCTCGCAATGAAACGTCTCAACCCTGCATTGGGTAAATAAAAAGCGATTGACAGCGAGATTTTGGATCATCTCGACGACCTTGTGGGCGAGATTGTCAAGGTAAAGAGTGAAAGATTTTGAGATCAAACGCCGCGTTGTCGATCAAGGGAAAGAGAGAAAGAGAGAGAGAGAAGGGAAAAACGGGATCATAGATCTTGAAATTGATTCCACGACGTCAATTATTTCACATACGTCCTTCTACATCCGGTATGGTCGAGGACATTTATATCACACGTGTTCAAATCTGCCTCTTTCCTTCGATCCGACATTTCCCGACGACCTTCATAACCATATAACTTCAGCCAATCGATACCCTCAATGCCATCAGGAAGACAATGTCAAAGTACATAATTATGTGAATGTGTACATATATGCATATTGTACTTGAAAGCAATGAGTTTGTATTCGAAATGGCTTGTGTTTGTAGTATAAAAGTTTTGATAAACGAACTCGGCGTACACTTTCTCGCAAGAAGAAATAAATTGCCTTCTGCGGAGAACTGAGAGCTAAAAACACACAGCTATCTCATTCTTCAATTTTTCATATAAAAGTCATAGATGCATTCGCTCACGCTGTATTCGCTCGTCGTCATTATATATCTACCGGGTATCGTGAATTAACAGGGTAATTAATTTTCTCGTATCCTGTTCATTCCGGTTACGCGCGCGTGCTTAATTATAGTCACATTCTTTGAAAATCAATCTCGGCATTCACGATCTCTCTTTCTCAGTATTAAGAGCAATTAAGAGCTCTCTTTTTCCATTTCCCATTCTAGTTACCTAATTTTAATCGCCGTTACGATAGCACGCTCGCGAATCGGGCGAATCCGTTATTGCTCGTCGTTAGACACGTGCATCGCGCTCAACGGTAATTACATAATTTGGTTTCGTTGTGTTCCCCATATGGGAAACAAACGAGCATTCAAAACACGTCGGTAGACATGGCTGGGCACCCACGCGTATAGTCTAACACTTAAACATGCGTAATTCATGTTTTCAACGCGTGTAAACCAGATTTCTGGAAAGAGCGAGATCGTCGACCATAACGACAATTGCATTTTTACGGAGAAAAGAATGTCAAAATTGACATACCAATTTGTCTTTGGGCTGAAAAGTGAAAATAAACATTTACATTCATATATGAAGATTGCTTTCTATCAGATTATATGATAATTTGGATAATATTATTTCAAGCTTTTGAGTAAATTAAATAAAATAAACATATATTAAAATTGAGATCTAAGAAATTTATTTCCAAATTTAACATATTCGTCAGAATCTGTAGAAATATATAATGAAAATTATATTTAAAAAAGAATAAAAAATGTAGAAATAAATCAGACATACAAATTTCCGTGTAAAATAATATTATGAAATAAAGTAATCTGTTATTATGATTATTTAAATAAAATAGTATAAACTTTCTATAATATATGTATATATATTAGCTGAGGAAGTTAAAAACAGCTTTAAAATTGAAAAATTTTAAATACGAATGAATAATTTAGCGTATAAACATGCAACGAATGCACAAATTATTGGTTTCCGATAAACCAAGCTTACGTCAGCTCTATTAAAGTGCAGCATTCGATTGAGAAATATAGTGGCATATCAGTTTAAGAGATCCGTGTGTCGCTTTTCGTATCTTTTCTTTTTACAGCATTTATATTGCGCAACGAAAATCTATTGTTCCTATTCACGTTCCATCGAGATATCGGAAAACGCGGATACGTATGTCCATCTTCCACTGTTGCCTCACCGCTTTCGTAATTCCATCTTTCAATCTTCAATTTGTTGTGTTAATTTTCGCTTTGTCGATTTACATTTCGCCGGCTGAAAGATCGAATATTACTCTTGGCGAACATTCTCGGGAGCGTCAATATCGATCCTTCGGAAACGATTACACGCTCTCATTAAACTGCAATTACGTCGGCTTCCAGAAGCGCTTATTAATCAGTCGGCTCTATAATCAGAGGGGAAACCTCGCCGGGAAAGAGACTTCCTCTTGCGAGAGATCTTGATTGCGAAGTCCGAGGAATGCGCGAGATGAGCGCCGTTTTTCTCGTGCGTGTCTCCTGCGGCCTCCTACATTGCGTGTACATACGCGTTCGGCAAATTAAATGCCTCGGCATTGTTGCGGCTTTTCCACGCGCGACACACGCTTACGCATCTTCTATCATACTCGCGATCTTTAAGATTTTCGTAAGAGATCTTTGTAAAAGCGTTTCTCGCAAGTAGTGCGTTTGCGTAAACACGCACGCTGTTCGAACAGCCGTGACTCGAGCAGTTCGGATGTGAGTGCGTGCGAGCGCAAGGTCGATCAAAAATCCGGTTACTTTTCCATTGCACAATTCGTCACTGTTGCACTTATCGCATTCGCGTTTCAAAGTAAAAGAGTGGCAGGCAATATGCGATGATATATGACAGGTAATCATGTAAACGCGAGTTCGAGATTGAAAATGTTTATGACATTTCGACAACTCAAGTCTGCGTAGATTTGACATCGGGGAGTAAATATATTGATAGCTATAATTACCATAATTTTCATAGACTTTTTACTTATAATTAATAAATTCTAATATAATTAACTAATAAATTATTTATACTGAATTCTTAGATAAAATTATTGCTTCGTATTAATGAAAAATTTATTTCTTAAGTAGGAATGTAATTATGGAAAAAGGAAAATGAAAAAGAAAAATAACTCTAGAAAATTTATTTTAGTAATTTTACTTAAAAATGTATTGTAAAAATTTTACTATTAGTGGATTTTATTAAAAATCTTTCATATTTTAGACTCCTCTAGCATTACAAGAGTTTATTGTACAAGATAATCTGATAAGGAACAATGAAATAATAATCTTTGTCAGTCTTATAGTCGTGATTTTATACATCCGTATGGAGCCTATTAATTCGTTTTGCTCCTACGACTTTCTTTGTTTTATCATTTCGCAACGCGGGCTGCAAAAAATATATTTCGCAATTTTAGAGATCTAGGACCGGATAGTTTATGCAGGAAATCACATAAGCTCCGATAGAATCAAACACATGTCCGATCCAAAGTATGTATTTGTGTAATCGAATGGAGAAAGCCACGAAAGATTTAAGACGCAAATTTTTATTCGACGATACTTGAATTATTTTTCGGAGGAAAAAAGGTGATTTTATAATAGTCTCTTATATAATACAATGACATTAAATTGATTTAAGAATTATATAATTCAATGAGATACATGTGTCAAATATTAGACTTAAAAATATGTCTTTTACTAAAATATATCTTTTACTATTTCAGGATGCCAACGAAATACTCCGAGAAGCGCAAGAGCTAGCAGAAATGAGGCCTTAGAATTCGAATGCCCTGAAGAATTTGGATATTATCCTCATCCGCGCGATTGCACGCAATATTACGTATGTGTTTTCGGTGGCGCCTTGCTGGAATCATGTACGGGAGGCCTTATGTACAGGTACGAGATTAGAAAAAATTAAGATTCTTGAAAAAAAAATCATAACAACATTAAAAATTATAAATTATACAATAAAAATTATGCATTTGTTGTACATCAAAATATTTGAATAATTACAATATTTCTGTTTAAAAATATAATATTATTGAATAAAAAATATCATAATTTCTTTTTTTTATGTTTTATAACTAGTATGTTCCATAATTACAAAAATTGTAATACATTGTAATTTTACTATAATATTTTCTTCGTGTATCATCGAAAACTATGATTTAAAAATAATATTGCTTTATTGCAAAAAATTACTATTTTAAAATGTTTAAGCATATTTTATTCCGCCAACATTTACATATGGGAATGTACATCTTATTATAGAATTTAATTGTAAAATTTCTTTTATGCTAAATCAATAGGTAGGCAAGATTATATTAGAAAACTACTTTGTCATTGTCAAAACATAGTCCGTAATTTGATTTATAAAATCGCGATGTATACATAACGTAATGATTTCAATGATCAAGCTCGCCTAGGTTCTCAGATTACATACGAGATAATAGAAGATGAAAGGAATTCTTCTGCTCGTTACGGAGTTTCTGCCAAGCAGACATATAATTGCACGAGGTTGACGACCGCGTTTAGACGACTATCGCTATGAAGAGGCAAATACACTCTCAGGGAAAAAAAACGTGGAAACGAATGCGCACTCGTGGGCCGATCGGCTAATATGGTTACGAATTAGCGGACCCAAGTGAAATTAAGCTTAGATTGGTTGAATCGAGAGTATGCACGCATTGTTGAGCAGCAATATACACAGACAGCCGGATGCGCCGACCCGTTCCGCGCTCCCAGAGCTGCATTACGTTGATTCGTGAGAGATCTCCTCGCCGCGTGAACGAAATCGCGCTTTCCCGTGAACTCGTGATCGTGGACTCTGCAAAAATACTCCTAAAGATATTTGTTTTAAAAATGCCTAAGGTAGTTTTTGGAGACATCTCGATTCACGTGGCAGATTCGATGCTTTTAGAATTTAGCAATGTTGTGAAAGCTAGTATCTCAAAACTAATTGATAACTATCGCATGAGTATTTTTATTACAATTATGTAAATGGATAAAATGGGTGTAAAGAATATTATAGAGAATGTAAAAGAAAATTAAATGAAAATTGTATGATAAATTTCATACATATAAAAGAACTGAATTTTATTTGCAAAAATGGTTAAAAACACAATTTTTGCAAACTTAAATAAAACTTATTTAAGTTTTATTTATTTACACATATATATTATAATTTATTTATTCACATATTAATATATGCATATATATATTATTTTATTTAAAAAAATTATCTTTTTAAACAGTATCGTATTTTGATACAACATTATACAAAATGTTTAAATTCCTCATATGGATACTCAGATCTCTTTTAATATAATAACATACACATAAAAGCAATAATTTATCCTTACGACTATCAAACAAATTTATTTTTTATTTATATTTGTTATGATCTCTATTCTTTTATATTTATAAAATAGAGATTTAAAAGCATCTGTTTCAATTTTTGAAACATTAAAATATTAACTATTTAGTCTAGAATAGTTATTTTTATGTTAACACATTGAAAACGAGATATCTTTAAATTACCTTATTCTGCAAAGAATTTAAGTACATGATAGAGTAATCGATTGCGTGCTAAAAAGTAACAACTCTTTGCGGACACTTAAAATCCGTTTTAATCGAACAACGCGAACAGATACGATCCTGGATTACTTTCAATTCGCTGTCAGGATTTGCACGGTAAAAGGGGATCACGTTTGTGTGTATGTGTGTATGCACGCATGTAACTCTGATGGAAAAAATCGAACAGGCCAACCACACCTCGTCCCGATACGTGCGAGTGACAAGCCAGTCGATATAACCCAAGGTGCTTAATGGTAACGTGATATCCAACTACGGTTAAGATCGTGACAACGATTTTACAGGAACGACGCCAAATACGGCTATGATAAAACGTGTTCGTCCAGAATTCACGGGAAACATTCTGATCTACGATGTCGAATTGCATAAATCCGTCCGACTGTTCGGACATTTTATCACTTAATTAAACGATCGTCGTCCAACGAAAAGCTTAACAAGAGATCGACAATTTACGGCTTGTTCTTTTCAGAAACGCGTGATACAATCAATACTGTTTACATCTTGAAGAATTTAAAAAAAAATTTCAATTACAATCCGGAAACGACAGCTTCGCGCTTATCATGCATTTATTCATGGTGAATTAATCGACACGACAGGTAGCGGAAAAAAATTACCGGCATGTAAGGCAATTGATATAATCGAGGAAAAAGTGTCAAATTGCATAAAAAGTCGTGACGCTACGTAAAGCATTAGGGAAATTGAAAATGACACGTCTTGCGTCGCGCAAATGTAATTTTAATGACACGACAAGAAGTCATGTGAGATCGCTGGTAAGGCGTGCTCATGAGTATAATTAATATTAAAAATTAAAAAAATCGTTTGCCTTCTTCCAGTCACGACCTGCAAACGTGCGATTGGCCGCGAAATGTAGGCTGCCCGGAAGGAGACTCGTCTAACAAGGAGGCCGAGGAGGATCCCCTGTTAGAGAGGTGAGTTTGCCCGGTCACACCTCTCGATATTTCATGTCGGAATACCTTAGAAAGTACTTCCGACAACCGTAAACCGTAATTTTCAAACTGCGCATCAACATTCGATCCTGTAACTCGATCATCGTTGAATATCGAGTCTGCATTAATATATTTGCGTTTTATTGTAAAATTGATCTTAGAATCTACTCTGTAACAAGCTATTATGAGCGCATAGGAAATATGGGAACGTCGCGTATTTGCATACAAGAGCGGCATAGTAGCCTCGCATTCCGTGCTCGAGATTTCATTTTCGACATGATTGCAGAACAATCGCGCGCCACGTGTACATCCCACGCACGCCACAACCGATGAGAGAAAAAGGCGAGAGTGAGAGTGAAAAGAAAGAGAAAAATAGCGCGAGCGCGGTCGATTGAGGCGATTGGATTGCGACTCGCAGAAAAAAACCGTTAGTTTCGAAGACAGAACTTGTGTTTTCTCGGCTCCGAATAAGCATCTCTCGCTGGCGTTCGACGTTAAGAAAAAAAATATCGACAACGTTTACGCGTCAGTAAAACATACGTTCAAACGCGACGAGCTTGTTGCGTAGAGGCCACTTCGTTCCGCCTGCAGATTCTCGCGGGACTTGCTTTCCCCGTTTCGATTATCATTAATCTCCAACGCAGATTACTTTAATTTAAGATATAATTGCTACTTGTACAGAAAAAAAATTCTTAAGTTCGTCTGCGAGAAACTGTTATTATATCGTTCAGAAAATAATACGATAAAAAGCAATAATGTGCTATTTTCGCACACACACAATGATCCCGGATTGACCATCATTATATAAAAATGAGTATATGAATATTTAAAGAAAAGTATAATATATTCGCAACATATCGCCGATATTCTTATTCTTGCACAAACGTTGCAGAAAAGTTAACTGCAAGAATAACGAGGGAGATAAAGCGAGTGTGCGATTGCACATCTTAGGATTAATTCCTTCTTCTTCGTTACGTGTGTAAATAGAAGTGCGGTCAATTTGTATGAGAATGAGTCTTTGTGCAACGCAGTCGGGTCTCGTTATATAAATCTAAAGTTAGGCAATTTCGCGCTGGGTATTCATTAATCTATTGTACACTAGTAATCGGGAAAGAATTTCTCAACCGTCTGCGCTTCATCTCGAATTCCGGGTGTCCTTGTCATTTAAAAAGAAAACTTCAGCAAAAGACAATTTCTGCAGTATCATATATAATCGCCGATGTACGACATCTTTCTCCTTGCGAGAATTTTTAACGGGAAGGACGTTTCACCGTTAGTTTCGAAACGACATAGAAATGAAAGCAGATACATACTTATATATTCTGCGATCATTCCTTCTCTTAGTTGGGAATATTTATTATTTTCTCTCTCTTCTGTTATGTTTTTCTATGCAACTCTTGTACGAAGATGTATGGGAAAGAATCTCGCTTATCATATATTAAATACAACTATTAAATATAACTATATATGTAATAAATACAATTATTTTTCATATTAAATTGAACATTCGTTGTGTTTGATAAATAAATATCAAGACGACAAGCATCGCTAAATATTTTTTTTGAACGAATGATATTATTAAATATATTAAATATTATATATTATAATTATATTATATATCATATATTAAATATATATTATTAAATATTTAAATATATAATTATTAAAAAATATTATTCAATTTTTAAATATATTAAATTAATATTATTCAATTTTTATATTAAATTAATATTATTCAATTTTTAAATATATTAAAAAATATTATTTAATTTTACACTTTAAAAGATATGTTTCTTTTGCTACAATCAAACCGATTACTTTGATAATTGAAATCGTCGCGGTCGTAGATCCGCGAAACTCGAGACTTTGCAGGATCAAGAACAGCAGCAACGACAGCAGCAGCAACAACAATTACGAGACCAACAACAACGAGAGCAACAACAACGACCGATCCAGAGGCAGCCGGTCGCGGTTACGAGCACGTCATCGCCGGTCTCGCAGATCACCGAGAGGCAGTTGAGACAGCGGCAACATTCCAGGACGAGTTATCACGAGGACGAGTACGGTCCCGCGTCGGAGGTCGAGAATGATCGACAGCAACGAGTGTACCGGGGACAACCTTCTACAATCGGTCAGGTGCAACGCGACCGCGATGGTCTGCGCCGGAATATAATCTCGGTGAGCGCTGACATGAAATACACTTAGACTATTCGCTACTTTTTACGAAATAATGAAACCAGTAGAATAGTTTTATGATACCCTCCCTATCTTTAAACAAATGTAGTATTATGCCCATAACGTTCAAGTTTTAAATGCATTTAAATGCGCCGTTATTTACATTAATCAAATTTATTTAATCTATAATCAATATAACAGAATAAAATCATCAAAAAGTGAATATTTTTTTAGATATTTTGTATTGTATCATGATTTGAAAAAGAAAAATCTCTATTTGCATTAAAAAATTATTTAATATAATTATTTTATATAAAAAAAAATACCAACGATACATTAATATGTGATAAAAATATGATATAAGAATTGTGTTGCATGCACTATATTTTGTTTTTATAATACCGTAAAATTTTTATTTAACATTTTATTTTAAAATAAAAACACCTAAGACTGAAATAATATATTATAACTATAATTACAATTATAGTATAATTACTATAATTACTATAATTAAGATTTATTATATATATATATTTTTTTTTTATAAATGATGAAATTTTTAAATAAATAGCTAAACGATTTTGATAATGAACGCATTTCTTAATTCTGCGATGCGTAATAAGATCGTAGATAATTTTACGAGCAACATCGAGAATTCCTTAATGAGACATGCTTGTAGAAAGTCACATTGAATAGGAAATAATAACCGCGTCCATTTAATGTTAAATTGGATTTAATTAATTAGCAATGAATACGACAATTCAATGATACACCAAAATGGCCATTGAGATTGAAGTGTCACGTGTGTATTTCAGGAGAGAGAAAAGGATAGCCTGAGCGCACGTGCCCAAGCCGAGACTCATTACAGGTTGGTAATAAAGTCACTCTTAAGAAGGTTGGTGCTTGTCGCAATAAGGCAAGACTTTTAATTTGGCCGTGATTTCTCCTCGAAACTTTTACATTCTACGTTAGTATAACAATCATACCTTTGCCTTATCTCGGTTAAAATTTATTATAATGACAAACTAAGATACTTTTCATCGCATCAAAGTGATATTTTATATGTGATATTTTATATTTTCGCGTTTTAGAACCTCTGTTCCAACCTCTGAATCGCCAAGACTTGCCAAAACTCTGGCCTCGACTGTCGCGCCGGTTCTATCTAAGGCTTACTATAACGATCCAGATCAAAGTTATCCGTATTATACAATTTATGATGACGACGTTTCTATTTACAAGGATGATGGTAGGCAATAAAACTTATATACAATTATTTGTATATTCTTTTTTGAATTATTTTTTGTATATCTCTCCACGTTTTCGCGATAATAACTCATAATAGTTTACTAATAGTATATATTATTTTAAATATTTGATTGCATTTAATGTATATTTTTTTACCGAAAATATATTAAATACATGAAATATGATAATATTTAGATAATGATAAAATATCAAGATAATATCAAAGATAATATAATAAGCAAAATTAATTTTAATTTTGTAATTATTAACGCAATTTGTAATAATTTTATATCATTTTACGTATATAGATTACAATCAATATACTATTAATCAATCAGTGCCGGTGCAGCAGCCAAACGTTAAAATTAGCGAAGTGAGCACAAAGCAATACCAGAAGCCGAAAAAGGTTGCCGTGAACGAGGCCGAAAAGTACAATCTTAATCAGGACGTCCAAGATTATGATATTTACGAAAATCAGGTATGAAGATATATTTCACGTAATAAAAATTTGAATGAAATAGTCAACGTTATTTTATTCCCGTTACAGTTTTGATTCTAATTAGAAATGGTATTTAAAAATAGTATCCGTTTTTATGTTTCAGGCTCAGCTCAATAAAAACAAGTTCCGCATATCTGACGGTCAACAGTTCAGGTAAGGAAATTGTTAATCGATTAGTTTTGCGGTTACTCGGCAAATTAAAATTATGAGAGAATACGCTAAATGATTACCGCATATTTAGAATAATAATTTCTGATCATGTAACATATTTATATAATAATTGTTTTTAAAGATGTGATAAATATTGTTTTTGCCATTAGAGAACTTTAACTATCTCAGACCTAAATTCACTCTTATTAGATCTTTTACACATTTTTAAGACAATATTATAATAATAACTTACATATATTATTTTTAACTGTTACTCGATAAGGAGTTATAATTCTTTATTGAACTTTTGCCATTATTTTAATAAATTTTTTTCTTATATTGAATTTTATTGCGTCGTTGCTAATGGATGTATTCTTGTTAGTGTGATTAATCATCTAAACATGCTAATGTTTGTACGAGCGTTCGATCATCAATAAAAATAACTGCGAATTGACGTTCAATTCAAGACTTATCTCGCTAGTCTTTATTTGCGTGAATCCGGATATATGTAAAGACGATACTCAATTTAACGATTGTATCAACAAGAGGAATCGCGCGATTTTAAGCGATTTTATTAATTTATTTACGAATGCAGGACAAACGTGCTCAGTCATTCCGTGGGACACGTAACAACACCAAACGTCATTGTTGATACCTTCATACCATTAACTACGAGCACGCAAACTCCCAGCACGACCAGCAGACCTTACACCGTCAACGCGCCGAGGTATAATTTTAATTATCTCGCTATGCTTTTAATTAATACCTCGTAGTAAAAAGAAATTAACGGTATTAAAAATTAAAACATTAAAAAGAGTTAAGCCTCGGATATTCGTATGATTTTTTCGACTTGCTTATTTAAATTTTAAATTAAAATACGGATGATTATAATGTAAAGTAAATTGAGACCGAATTGATGAAAACGAGTACAACCTATTTATATTCCATAAAATTTTATCAGCGATTCTTTAATATATTCTAAATTTTCTTTTATACAATTCTGCGGATAAGCAAGAAAGAAAATTCATTTTATTTCGTTAACCTGATTTGTGCACATGGCGCAAAACGCGAAAAGAACGGCCCTGTGCCGATTTCCGTCGGCCGAGACCCGATTTCGCCGGCAAAACGACGTCCCTCGCTCGCTTACGCGCTTTCTCCGCCACGTAGTTTAAACGCACAATTTTCCTTCATCCACGCGCAGCCGGAAATCCCTCGGATCTTATCTTATGCTCCAATTTTGCTCCTCTTCTTTTTCAGCCGAGGTCGACCGCAGCAGATCCATCGGGGCACGGCACCGCCGTAAGTTCATTATCAAATCACTTTCTTCAACGAGGCACAATCTGGCTGATGTACGATACCACTAGTATAGATCCGCGAACGTTTCGCGATGAGACGCGATACCGTGAGACTACTTTCAATCATTTTTTTTCGAAAGCGCGAAATTTTATTAGAATTCATTGAGATTCATTTTGATAAGCGTGCTATCGAAAGGGTTTTGTCGAATTTAGCGTATATAAATTTAATAAAAATAAAAATAGCAAATAATACGTATGTGTATATGTTTGATTAGAGAAAATTAGTTATTATATTATATGATAATTATTTTGTAAAACATTTGATGTTTTCAGACGATCTCGACCTACTTTGAAGCCATCCACTGAGATAGTTTCAAAGGCGCAGGAGTTTATTGACATCTACAGGTATCCTCCAGTGAGACCGGCGACGATTTATCCGACGCCTCAAGTAGACAAACCAGCGGCAAAGTGTCGTAAAGATGTCTGCTTGCTTCCGGATTGTAACTGCGGAGGCGCCGATATTCCAGGTAATTAAATGACATAATGACACATTCGGATTTAGAGAAAACGCACGATGGTTCATTCCACTTTGGTCGAAATCGTTGGTTAAACGACCTAAATTTATAACTCTTTCTCCTTTCGACTCGAGAAGACATAGATTCAATTTCAAATTGTGAACAGAATGAACCAGAGAGATTACGAAACTTAAATACGTTCAACGTGATTCTCTATAAAAATGAGATTTGAATTTCTTTGAATACAAACTTGATTTCTAAATGATCAGTTCGATTCTTCTGGTTGCTTAAGTAGACCGGAAATGATGTTGTGCGAGCTAGAAAACGTAAGATGGAAAAGTTTGCATTCCGCGTGCCGGAAGTTGGGACATTTGCCAGCTGAATGTAAATAAGGAAGTAGGACGATATATCGTCCTGATGAATCTCGTTCGATGTATTCTCGTCCTCGATTAATCAACGATAAATCAATTATCTGACGTGAGAAACACGCCTGTCAGTGAAAAATTCGCGAGTGACGCAAGCGGATCGCGCGCCGTGTTTATTAAGTTTGACGTATGGTTTAGACGTAGTCGGGGGTCTCGCCGTGACTTTCTCCGATTCTCTAACGTTACATACACGCCGACCGTTACATGTACGCTCGAAAGTGAAACAGATCTACCGCCCGATACGATACGCCGGCTCGTAGCGTGCGTCGCCCTTCGAAATTGAAAGCAATTTGCATTTGCGGAAGGCATTCGCCGGACGCTTGACCAGTGCAATTCCCGATTATTCAGTTTACGCGTAAAATACGGCCGTTAAAATTTCGATCTCGTTACCGCAGATCGTTGAGCATCACGTTTTACTTTCGCCGAAAGAGATAACTTGTCGGGAAAATTATTTTTGTACCAATTCGCGAATAAATAAAACGTATCTCACGATTTTCTTGCTATTGGAATTTTTATTCGAGTGTCTTGGAAATATTTACGCTCGGAAGATCGTTATTTTTGAAAGTCATTGATTTATAATATTATTTTATATCCTTTCTGGATTCTAAATAGTCTTCAATTCAAAGAATGAATTTAGTATATGAATCGCTAAAAATAGAAATAGATACAAAAGTGAATAATTGTTTAAGAAAGATTATTAGCTAAAAAATTCAATTTTTATATAATATGTATATATATAAAAATATTTTTTTCAAAAAATTTCAAATGTAATTAGAATTTAATTTGCAAATACTATTGATTTTGCCTAAACAGTTATAATTAAAATTAGCGTAATGAAAAAAAGGTGTTGAGATGATTCTGATCAGATAACACATTATTAAATAATTTACTCTCACCTGTAAATTATTTTAATTTATAATATCGTAATCCACGCGTAGAGAAATCGGAGCTTTCGTGCTCTTGTTTTCGAAAAAGTGCACGCTTATATTAAATATTACAGAAATAAGAATATAAATTTTCTCGATTTCACCGAGCAATGACGTATCAGTTTCGCTGATCATTCAGCAATGTATCTACTCTAGAAACGCGTGACGCGTTCATCCCGATTCTATTTATAAGCTACACGATGAAACTGTGACGTACAGGTGGTATTCCGGTCGTGCAGACGCCGCAGATTGTTCTGCTTACTTTCGACGACGCCGTAAACGACCTTAACGCACCTCTGTACAGCGATCTGTTTGAAAACGGCCGTAAGAATCCGAACGGCTGCCCGATTTCAGCGACTTTTTACGTCTCGCACGAATGGACAGATTATACCCAGGTGCAAAATCTCTATGCAGACGGCCACGAAATGGCGTCTCACACTGTCTCGTAAGTTCGTATCAAGACCGGATACAAGCACAGGTTTTCATTAACACCGGGAGTGTGTCGCATATGCCATCGTGCTACTGTTTTAACCAAAAGTGGAGAAGCGAAACTCGAATGTCATCTCATCGTTTGATTTCTTATTGCGCCTGTTCGACCATCTTCTTAAGATTGCAATGTCTCGAGTGGATGTGCAATCGGGAAAAACATTTATCTGCGAAAGATCCTCTAATTTGATGCAATTGGAGAATATTTAAACATCGAGTTCTTTGAATTTTGCCATTATTAGATTTGAGAAATCTCTCAGAACTCTCTAAACTCTCTTTTTAAATCTTTAAATTCTAAAAATACTTCCAAAAACAAATTTTTCAGATTTTAAATATTCGAACTCTTGATTTGATATCATTAGATTCCAAGAATCTTTAATAAAAAAATCTCGAGATGTTTTAAAGTATTGTAAGTATTACACCCTCATCTTTAAATTTTTAAATAATTCTCGAAAAAATTGTTTATAAACTCTTGCTTCCTTGAAATTGACACTGTATAATTAGAGGATCCCTCATGAAAATAATCAAAACACAAATTATCGTATTCATCTGGTAAAACCGCAATTGCAATCTTAGAACACGAGATCTCTTGGATCGCGAGGTCTGATAATAACACGCCGTAAAATACGCGGTTTCACCAGGTGGATACGACACCTGCGATGCATACTAATATATAATGCGTGTACTAACTCTGTTGTTCTCTCTTTTTCTCTTTTTACGCCTCATCATATTCCTCATTCCCATCACGCGCTATTCTAACTGGTACATCTTCACACACATATATACCATATAAAAAAAACGCTCAAAAAAACCTATATCACACCGATATGTTCGCAAAAAAAAAATAATGTTCTACAACATACATTTCAACATGCTCTCGACCGCGTGTCCCGATTCTTCCATTCTGTCCATTTCCCCTTTCTTTTTCTCTCTCCTCGTGTCCTGGATCCTGAACGCGACCCTAAAACGAACAGGTGACTATCTGCCGGAGGAGATACCGCAAATCGTTCTCTTGACTTTCGACGATTCCGTGAACGACTTAAACAAGGGTCTCTATGCTGACCTGTTTGAGAAGGGACGGAAGAATCCCAACGGTTGTCCCATCTCGGCCACTTTCTACGTGTCCCACGAGTGGACCGATTACAGCCAGGTTCAAAATCTCTATGCCTCGGGCCACGAAATTGCTTCCCACACGGTCTCGTAAGTAATCGTCATACGTGTATCTGCGAAGATCGCGTCTTCGTGTTAAAGCATGATTCTCACTTAAGTTTTATTAAAGGAATCTTGTGAGTGATATGTAAATAATGTTGCGATTATTGATATTGCTTGGGAATCTGTATTTTTACATTTTATTCACGAATTTATTCAATTGATATTTATTTATTTTTTATTGATTATTTTCACAATTAAATTTTTTTAAATTAAATTAAAATATGTAAAACATATAATTATATCTATTATACACCAATTAAATATCAAGAATCAATGATTCCATTATAATTGAATCGTATCAGCACGATAGTGAATATTATAGACAAAATTATACAAAAAAAAATTAATTATTGAATTTTCCAAAATTTTCTTGTCTTTATAATTAATACATAATTCGCAATTTCGAGAAACATCACACTTATTCGACAATCATTCGTATCATTAACATTACATGGATATGTGCCAATTAATTACGGTCATTAAAGTCGCTAAACAATTATTGCTTTTCTTTACGTGCTGTTCTTCAGTGTCAAAATTAACGCTGGCTTGTTTCGCTGACGAAGAAATTAACAAGTACTATTGGTTGTTGGATCGATTGATAAATCGCTTTCGCTTATCGCGCAACGTTTCTTAATTAGGATGACGACATGCATGTTCGAGGACTTTTATCTCATTTCATATGCAGAATATCCCACAGATCTCACATTAATTTGAATAACAATTCAAACAGATCTAAGCTAATTTTCGCAATGTAATTATCGTATCTTTTCTATTTTTTGATATGCTCTACATTAAAATTTTTAAAAAATTTATAAAAATTATAATGGTGTAATTTTTAAAATCAAATTTTAATTCTTACAATCATTTGTCATTTCCACCTTTTTTCGATTTAAATATCTTATGTTTAGTTTTTGATACTGTCATTCTATAAAAGCAACATTTAAGCAAAATATGTGCTAGTCGCATTTATGTAGTAAAAAAAATTTTTAAAAAAAGTGTTTCTACGACGCGTGTCGTCAACCATTTTAGGATTCGTGTGCCGTAAAAATTAATTCTTTATTACTCGAGTAATCAGTACGTCAATAAATCTTCGCGACAGGCACAGTTTCGGTGAGCAATTTTCGGCGCGAAAGTGGGCGCGAGAAGTTGCTGGACAGCGTGAAATTTTAGCTGCTTACGGAGGCGTCAAGCTGGAGGATGTCAGAGGAATGAGAGCTCCTTTCTTATCGGTAATTTCAATTATATTTATTAAAATCGTATGATATTGAAAAATATCAAAAAGAATATGTAATTAATCAAAATTTTGTTTCTATTTGCAATCTCATTTTTTTATGTTTAACTTCTAGAGAATTTTAATAGATTTAATTTATAAAGAAATTAAAAGTTTTGAATATAGACAATAAATAATTTAAAAATGTAAAGAAGAGTTTTTGGTACAATTGTAGATTAAATAGTCTTAAGAAATACAGTGCTTTTATTGTTTAAAATATTAAAGTAAATGTCAGATCAAAAGTTGAAATAAAAAGTAGAAAAAGATTTAATTTATTAAATTGGCTGTTATAGTCTTCTTTTCGACGAGATCTCTTCTATAAGATTACGAAAAGTTTCTTCATCGTTCAAGAAAGCAAATTATTGCTATGTAATATTGTTTTGTGTCGCAGGTCGGAGGAAACAATATGTTCAAGATGCTGTGGGACACAAACTTCACATACGATTCTTCTATGCCAATTTACGAGAATCGACCGCCCAGTTGGCCGTACACGCTAGATTACAAGCTCTTCCACGACTGCATGATACCACCCTGTCCCACGAGATCCTATCCAGGATTGTGGGAAGTTCCTATGGTAATGTGGCAAGATCTCAATGGAGGTAGGTGCTCCATGGGAGATGCCTGCAGCAACCCGCCGACTCCGGACGGCGTGTACAAGATGCTCATTAAGAACTTCGAGAGGCATTACACGACGAACAGGTTGGTAAAATATTTCTCACCCGCGAATACAATTGTGAGATAAATAATCAAAAATTTATGTGATTAATTTCTATAGTCGATATCAGTTTCTTAACATTTCGCTTTAAAATTTTTTATAAATCTACGATTTGATGTCTGAGGCTTTTACATGAATTGTATGAATCGGGAAAGATCTCTGAAGGTTTTTAATTTAGAAAATATATATAATATTGAAATGCATGTAAATATCAACTTATGGTTTTTCTAACAAATTTATTTGTTTTACATAAAATCTGTGTGTGTGTGTGTGATTATCTTAATAAATTTGAATCGAATCAAGATCTCATGTCAGGAAAGCTCCATGTGTAAGTGCTTTAAAAGAAACATTTATACAATTTTATTATTTCGTAAATTATCTGTCTGAATATTTCCACATATTCGGAATAAAACAGATAATTTGATTGCATTTTCATAAAATAATAGGGCGCCTTTCGGCCTGTTCTACCACGCCGCGTGGTTCACTCAGCCACATCATAAAGAAGGCTTTATATCGTTTCTCGATACCATTGTCACGATGGACGATGTATGGATAATTACCAATTGGCAGGCCATACAATGGATCAGGAATCCAACGCCTCTGGCACTTTTGCACACGTTTGAACCTTTTGGATGCCATTATCCGGTAAAACTACTCGCAGTTTATTAAGATCTCTATTCTTATAAATAACTTATTCACGAGACATTCAAGTTTCTCATTTTTTTTCCTGCATGAAATGGAGTGTTAAACTATTTGATTTACATTTTAATAGCTGCAATGTATCGGATGACTATAGTTGTCAAGTTAAAAGTCACTTAACAAAAGCTTTAAAATATCAGGATTTTGATTTTTTTTAAAATCTCTCTTCAATAATAAGAAATGCTCATTGAGAAGCATTCTTTTACGTGCGATTCCGCAATATAAGAGTCCCATTGCATTGCGATAAATGTGTACACAGGACCGACCCAAGAAGTGCAATAACGCAAAGGTCTGCAATCTTTGGCACAAGAGCGGCGTGAGATATATGAAGACGTGCCAAGCATGCCCGGACATTTATCCCTGGACAGGCAAGACTGGTATACGTAGCAGCCGCATCGACAACGAGGTCGACGCCCACGAATGAGCGGACGGAAGTTTAGAACTTCGTTGTGATCGGGGAGAGTCCCGGATCGGACGAAAATCCAGAGCAACACGAACGTTCAAAAGATGCGATTGAGGGGGTCTAAATACAATCTTAATCCCTTTCACGGATATTATTTAGATATAGATGCAAACAGCATCCGAATCTTTTACGCGGATGTGTTTTAGACGTTTTTTAAACATACTGCCTTTTAGATATTTTGACTTATTTAAATATCTATCTTTTGGATTTTCGCGTTGTTCGGGGATGCGGCAATGTGCGCGAAAAGGGGAGACACTCTTCTATTCGGGCAAATAATTTCGAGTATTACACGCGTGTGTCCCAAGCGGACACACATTCGGGCCGAGTACGCCGATGCAAGAGTTCTACACTGAAAAATTTGCAAAATTTTTACATCCACGATGGATTGTATTAAATTTATCTATAATTGCTCTAGATTTTTAACCAAAAAATCATTATATTTATCAGCAATAAGGTTTTTGGACGAAAATTTTATTGGTAGTAGTTTCGAATTTGTTTTGAAAAGAGAAAAAACATTTAGTGTGCAAAGGAATAATTTATATAAACCTTTGTATTGCTACAGTTTTCTCAATTTCCTCTGAGCAATGTGGAATTTTGGCCGATGCTATAAGTGTATAAAACGACGTAGTGTTGAATCTCGGAGAAACGTGCGTATGTAGGGTAAATTAAATTAAATTAATTAAAATTATTATCGCGATAAAATTGTGCGTGTAAAGTCGCGTAGAGAATAGCTAAAGTGTACACGTCTTTTTCTATCTCTTTAAAAATCAACGAAGAAATCGATCAAAAGATCGATCGGACGCACCTTCCTTTCCACTTTTCTTTCTTGTGGTCTCCCCTCAATTTTTTTCTTTTGTAACTTTCCTTTTCTTTTTTTTTCTTTTTCATTCTTTACTCTCTTAAATTCGCAAACATCCTTGGCGTACTCGGCCAAATTCGGCCAAATAGAGCAATTAATTAAATCACAGTACGTAATAATTAATCATCGAGATGTATGCGTAAACATCGGTCACCGAAGATATTCATATTTAAGTGAATTCGTGACACTACGTCGCGATTGAAATTTATCATGCGTGGCCACTTTGTAGAAAAAGGGAAAGAATCGAGGAAATTTCGCCTTGACGAAGTATCGTGCGCACGAAGGGATCGTCGTGTTTATCTTTTAGAACATAAAAATGTAATATGCCTTTAATAAATAAATATTTCGCTACAACATCTACATCTCTTTTCAACCAACGTTTATAGGGAAAATCATGGACTGTAATCGATTAACGTAATGTGATAAAAAATAATGTGTCAAACAGTATTTCGTTTTTTTGTTATAAATGTAAATCAGGTATCGGTAAAGGATAGAGAATAGTGGACCAAGTGCTAATGTTAAAATGGTGAATGTACTGCCAGGACACCATATCTGTCGATCCAGCATATTCTACCCAATATCGCGCCATATTATTATAAATCTTCTCTTTCCACGTCTGTAAAAAAATTTAGTTATATTATTTAAAACAGCCAATTATCGGTTATTTGCCAATTTACAAAAAAAATATCAAAGATTTAATTAACTTAACTTATTCTTATCAATTAATCATTAAGCGCAAATTACTTTTAATTAAATTTATTACCCTTCTATTTTGCATAATCCATGCTTCGATCAATTTATTTCCTTGTGAAACTGCAAATTTTTGTGCTTTGTGCAGATAAAATCGCGTGGTCGATTTGCGACCTCGAAGAACATTCAGGTATGCCATCAATAAATACAAACACGGCTTTATGACTATCGCGTGCTTGGAAACGTTCCCGAGGCATTTGATAATTTTGGAAATATCTTGAATCAGATCCAACAGCTTCTCAGATTGCTTCATATTGATGCAACGGAGCAGCATCAATAGATAACATTCAAGTCCCTGAGAAAGGAGCATTAAGGATTGAAAAAAGGTAATCATTTTCATGTAATATATAATCTATGACAATGAAGAAAAAGGGACATATAAAGAAGAACATATATTCGATAATGTCAATCTTGAGATTTTCGTAATAGATTTAAAACTATAAGTGTTTTTAGAACGTCATGAATTTATCTAACTCGTATACATATGTATAACAAGAGAAAAAAATATATAATAATTGAAAAAGCATAGACCTTTAATAATTCACGAATGTACCTTAATACAAGTGAAAATTCGGGAAAAATCATCGTAACTGACATCCTTTATGAGTTCTTCCGCGCTACACGTAAATGCGTCATTAATCGTGTGTCCCCTACATATACAATATATCTTTCGATTAATAAAGATCATAATAATTCAATCATTTACTTTTCGAAAATATACAAAAAGACATAAAAAATGGAATAGATATCTTAAAATTAAATATTTTTTTATTTACTTTTGAACAATACAAGTTAATAATTTTGAGCTCATTTTCGGTAGCAAAAATCTTCTCATAAAAATATAAAGATATAAGAAATAAACTTACGATAAAGAATGAGGACAAGTTTTTAATTTGCGAGTTTTAAAAGTTCATTAATATAAATATAAATTATAAATTTTAGAAGCTTATAAATTATATTAAAATTTAATTATTTATTGTTTATTCTTTTGAAGAGGCAAAGAAAATTAATAATAAAAAAAATTAGATACTTACATTCTAAGCTGGTATAGCCACAGGCATGTCAATAAACGGGACAAGCTTTGCGGATCGCGCCATACACAAAATTTCGATCTGTCTTGATCTGCTACGTAATCATTATTTCATGCGTGTTAAAGTAATTACAGGTTAAAATAAAGTGTATAAAATCACAAATAACGGAGAAATTCTTTATATACATTTTAATGCAGCTTTACGAATTGTAATGTGTTTCTTACCTACACATTTCTCATAATAGTTATGAAACGTTTCGTACGAATCTAGTACAACTCCTGCATCCAATATGAATTCTAAGGAAAGAGCGTAATACCATGTTTTGTCGGACAAGTCTACATCTTCCTCTGCTAAAAAATATAGCTCTCGCATTAAATCGACGGCTTCGTTGATACGCTTGGTCCATAACTGATTAGATTATTAAATAAGAAAGGATTATGAAAGTAAGCAATGAATAATTATACACATTTTGAACAATATAAAAGATCCAAAAACCATATGTCAAAAATATCTGAAAATGTGTAAATTAATATGACATGTCATGTAATATTTTTGTATAATGCTTTGAATCAATTTATTAAGATGCAATGTTGCAGAGATTTTTAAAACCTTTATACCAATATTTATAGCTTCTTCCAATTCACCTCTTAGTGCTCTATTTTTACGTACACAATTAGATTAATTCAACAGAAAAAGAGAGAGAGAGATTCTTGTAGAAATTTTTATATGTTTGAATTATATACCTAACTTGATACATCATTAAATAAATCTTTGCCATCATCGTTATTTCTTCGACATTATTCCAACTAATCTTTGCTTTTATTACGGCGAGCATTGGTCTCTCAATATATTGTATTAATTCGATATTTTTTGTGCGATGCAAAACTTGAACTGTTACGAGATATATTTCGCCTTTCTCCAGAAAATTATCAATGTTTGAAAAAGCCAGCTTGAAACTTTTCAAGGCATAAGTCTGTGCCGCTTTCAATTTATTGTCTATCTATAAGTAATTATGCAAAAATTATCAAATTTTTATTTTGAAAGTCTATTTCGTTACAGATTAAAATTGAGTTAAAAAATTTTATAGGCATAGGTGTGATTAAATATTATACTTGTAATATATATATATATACTTGTTTCAACAAGACAAATATATAAAAAACAGAATATTATGTTGAAAAATTCGATACTTATTTTACAAGACGTAGAATGCTATTGTTTTTATACAGCTTTTGTTGATATTTGCACGGCGAGACTCGAGGGCGCAGGTAACTCTGTATCATTTCATTTTAAAATACGTCACGAGAAATACTCGAAACATCGAACGCTATTATTCGCTATGATTATTAGCTATGATTTATTAATTCATATAATTAATTCCCTTGATAAATGACGCGTAAAAGTATCGCGGCAACGTTATGTATTATCGAAACAATTATTTCACGCAATAAATCGCGGCCTTTAAATTTCTCGTCTATTCCAATGTAATAAAGAACTAATTACAATGAACTAATTACAATAAAGCCCGATATTTTATGATATTAGAAAAATAATACGAATAACCGAATCGAATAACGGAAAGGCATGATATATTGATTAAATAATAATAGATATATTGCGTGGCGGGATTTGTGTGTATTCGTATTTTCTTCGATATCTATTGTGCGAATAATTGTCGCTTGTCAACATCGAACAATGTCGGAAGTGTCGTGCAAAACATCACACGTCCTACTAATTAGTGCATCGACGTAATTAAGCGTGTTATGAAAAAACAATGAGAAATGAAGAACAAGGAAGAGGAGAAAAGGAAGGAAAGATCCACGAAGAAGCGATTTTAAAAAGAATCTATAAATAGAAGGAGAAATATAGTATTATTCAAGATATTATATGTAAATAATTTGTCGTCTTTTCAATAAGCTCTCTATTTAGATAAAATTATTTTATTTTTTAAAAAAAGAAATTTTTTCGTGTTAAAAAATTTATAAAGGAAATAATATATATACAGCTATATTAATTAATAAAACTTACATGTTTAATCATTTCTATATCTATTTATTTTTCAATTTCGTTCTCTTTTCGTTTTTGTTTTATTTGTTAATAAAGACGACAAATTCTTTTAATCTATTTAATAAGTCACTACGTATACATACCAAGTACGTGACGCAAAGACGACGCAAATATGACGCAAGTTCCAATTTTTTTATAATAACATCCCTCGGTACGTCATTAATTGAATAGCGAAGAGGATATCGCATTTTACAATATATTTTTAATATTATACGGTAGCAGATGGTTTTTTTCGTTTTGAGCAAAGTATTTCGCAATTTCACTGCCGTTGTATAATATTTCTTAGCCTGATCATAATTTCCCAATGCGCTATGTGCGTCACCTGAACAATAATTGTAGCATATATAGTAAACATATTATAACTATATTGAAGAAATTTCTGCGAAACTGTGATGGTAAAATAAATAAAATGCGAAAATTCTCATGAGATCTATGTTGATTATTATACAAGTAGTTTGACTTATTATTTCTTTAATAATTCTGAGAATAGAATAAACTTTATTTAAATTAAACAGCAATGCGATGAAAAATTTAATAAATATTCATTCTCTAAAAACAAATAATATACAATAATCTGTGAATACAGACCCATTAAAGCTAGAATAATTCCCTTATTCGTGATATTTTTTTTTGCGATGTCATCTGTCCATTCGGCTATCTCGATAGCCTCATTTCTTTCAGTAGCACTCGAAAGCAATTTAATGGCATAAAGTGGTTGCGCAGTTTGTATCAGTCCAGCACTGTATTCCATAAAGAAATCAAGCACTTCGATTTCTCCTAAAATAAATCAATGTCAATAATTACATATACAGTTCAGTTATATATTGTGTATCTCATACGTATATAATATAAAAATATATATAAAAAGATTTTATAAAAGAAGCACGGTAATTTAAAAGCATCTAAGACAAATTAATACTACAGGAAAAGTAGTTTTTTCACATATTGAAATATTCTTAAACTATCTTTACACAATAAAGTTGATAAATTTACCACAATTTTCAATGTGTCGATGCAACCTCCAGAAAAGATGACTGATAACACTGTCGCATTGACAATTACGATAATCGATGTGACTAAATTCTTCCAAACAACTTGAAAAAGGATCTTTCGTTATTTCTGGAGCGACACTTGTAGATCGTTTCCAAAACTTTAGTGAGTTATTTGTTAAACCTTCTTTAGTTCTTCCTTCGTCTCTAGAAGCTATTGTGAGGACATACAATAGAATATGTCGAAAAATAATAGAATTTTGAAAATTTCGAAAATCTCTTGAAATAAAAAAATGGATTGTTAGCAACCTTTTTCTTCTTCGTCATCGAGATACGTCGGCAGGATAGATATTCTGCGTATATTGACGCTCTCTTCCCTCTTCGACAATCTCATAGGAAGTATACTTGGTTTTGCTAACATCCATCTATTATTTCGATCTTCAATTAAGGTTCGATGACGAACCAGCGAAACTCTAGGCGAATCTGTTGGACTTTCTTCCTGTGAAAGTAGGGAATGTTAATCAGATAGGATTTTCCGAATATAAAAAAATAACAAATAGTTTCATAAATAACAAATTAGAAGACATCAAAAATTTAATTGCAAAAGTTAATTATGTAAAATGAATTTGCACGCGAACAATATAATATTGTAAAGAACAATCGGAATTTTAAAAAATTGTAGTACTTAGGAATTAAGCAATTGAGACTTTTTGTATTATATACTCAACAATATGAAGGCAATAATTCATTTAGAAAGAAAAAGATTTTAGAAAAAAGAAGGAAAATCTTAATTTTGTAAGAACGATTCAACATTTTTTAATCTACGAAATCAAAAATTATTTGTAAAACACATTTTCTGAAAGTATACTAATTATTGTTTACGTTTGTTTGACCTCGGTGAATTTTTCTTTGCTGGGAACATGCAGAAAATGACCTTTGCCACAAAAATTGCACTTTTGTGCGTCCAAACCGTATATTTTGGCTGCTCTCGCGTGATGCTCTTGCCTTTCTTCATTCGATTGCATATCATACATTATACTGCGAAATAAGTCGACTTTGAACTCTAGCATTTTACAGTGTGCATAAAGAGGAGAAGATAAGATGACAGATCCTGAAAAAAGAACACATAAATATTCAATCAAATACTCAATCAAGAAATATTCAATAAAAGAATGAGCAAATCTACATGATTGTACTGTTTTTATTGCAGTTGCTATTATTTCCTTAAATCGATTTTTATATTCAAATTTTTCTTATCAAAAATTTTATAAGACGTTATTATTTTTTCAAATTAAGACCAAATCAGATTATTTTTAATATTTTAAGCTAACGTGAATGATGACAATGGCAAGACAACAAGTGATGCATATCAGAAAACGTTCTCCGCTTCTTGTCTATACAGAAGATAAGATCTTCGGTGTGGAAATCTCGTCGTTGAAGCGAAGCGCACTCCAATATTCGCATTCGAATCATCTCAGAAACGGCTACGGAATTGCACAAAATTCATATAAGTTAGAATGCAAATAGATTATAATTAATATTATTTACCGGTGACAGTATGCGGTGGAATTGAACTCGGCATTACATTTTCTAACATGCTTCGTTTAAATACTTTGCCGAGCGTAGCAGCGCACATAATAAAACTATGCTCGTACGGATTCATTCTATTGTAGATCTCGCCCATTAATTCTATACTAAACAAGTTTTTAAATGAGGAAATATAAAATTTTCAAATGACGAGTTCAGCACAATGAAAAACTTCTGTACTTCAAGATACCATTACATTATAGATTTAATCATTCGTCACAAACATTGCGAAAAACTAAGGAGTTTATGGGACGTTAAAAAAAAAAGAGATAAGATTGAAAATGATAAACAAAACAACATAAGATGTGCCTCTCATATCGCGATTTATATCTTCAATCTCGAAGTAATTCTCATTCGTGACACAGATATCTAATTCGCTCATCTGCGACCAGGGCAAAGGTGGCGCAAGTTCATCGGGCGTCAGATCAATTGGCAATTTTGTCACCAGAGTGGTATCCATAAAAATGAGATCATATCGTGCCGCTTCGCCAGGCGATATCCTGATGAAATCCAAACTGTTACTCTGAAGTATCAACGTTAGCAATGCTTCGCACCATCCGATAGAGCCGTCTTTGCGCCGCCGTAAAATCCTAGCACAAGAATCCTATCATTATTTTAACAACATGATTTCAAAATTTTTTCTGCAACTGTTGAAAAATTATTTCTGAAATGTTATTGCATTTTAGTTAAGATACACAAAAATAAATGGTAGCGAACAAAACCTATGTAATATTCTGGGTATTGCAAAGACGTTCAAGAATTGACATGCAAATATCGGCAGTAAATTTACATCCAGACCGAGCAATGTATGTTTCATCAATCTTTTGTCTTTGTAGATTTCTACTTCCACGTGGGACAGATCTTCCCACGAGTTCGGCTTTAACATCGTCATCGCCGTGACAATATTATCGTTATTAAGAGCCGATGATAGAAATTGCCAAGATATGTAATCCATGTGCTGAATATCGTCGAGTAAAATGCAGATTTTAATTTTCAACTGTAAAAAATGAATAATCATATTTGTTCCATTTACGTAGAACAACTTTAAGATAATGTCATAAATCATTTATTTAAGACAAGATAACATAACGACATTGCCTGCTTCAACATCATTTGGAAGATATTAATAGTCTTTGTGTGACGTTGCCAATCAGAATCCAAGCAGTAAGCGTCGGAAAGAGGAAAGTGAACTCTCATTAAAACGTTGAGATAACAAAAATCTTTCAAAGGAAGAAAACTGCCCAATTTAACAAGCAAAATCTTTTCACGCTCCTCGACCGTATCACAATCTTCAGCTTCAAGTATCTGTTCAAAAAGATTCAAACGATTTATTTTCATTGCACAAATTAGATAAATAATGAAGATAACTGATAGAGAATCGAAAATTTAGTTTTCTTAATTAAAATGACGACTTTTGTTTAAATATATATCATTTTCTTTCTGTTTTTTATCAATTCTTCATATAATAGTGTTAATAAAGTATTTATACCGAAAAAAATAAAAAATTAAAATTAATAGAAAGATATAGAAAAATATCTATTCTATATTTTTGTGTTTAAAAATTAATGTTTTCTTCCTTTTTCTTTCGATAATTAAAAATTTATAAGTTTACAGAATAAATTTCTATTAATTTCTCTTAATTTACTTATCTTCATCAAATATGTAGGATAAAATAAATCGAATACGTATTCCGTACTTGTAGAATAATATGATGTATAACTGAATAAGCCTTCTCCCCATATGTTACGTGAAGAGATAGTTTAATTGGTTTTATTTGTTTGTTGCAAACGCTCGCGACGAAAGCATCTAAAAGTCTTGATTTTCCTGATCTCTCATTACCCTAAATGAATCAATCGATTTTTTAATGCATGCAAGACAGATGCAATAGTAAATATGTGTTAATTCCTAAGTATTGCCTTATATACAAAATAATATAATTATATTTATCTCAATATTATTATAATGTAAATATAATATAATTATTTTTAATAGAAATTTGGATTTTATATAATTATATATTATTACATAAAATTAAATTAAAATGATTAATTATTGTAAGTGTAATAATAGATATATTAATAATTAACATTTTATTTTAACTTTAATTAAGAATTAAACAAACGCATATAAACTTGATTTTCGGAAAATTGAAATTGAACCTCAATTAACAATCCAGAATAATTCCGACCCGTTACTCCGATCTCATCCAAAATATTATCAAAGTACTCCAATTCTCGTGCTCTACCCAAAATAGGATAGCAATAATCCAGAGATTCAATTGCGCTCAAATCTTTTCTCATCCTATTCACACATATAGACATTTGAACATATATTTTACGTACTTCGTGATTCACGCAAGAGATTCATGCTCTAATTGTTACAGATTTAAATACTCACGGCGTATCGCCGAGATATTCATAGACGTGGAATTTCTCCAATAGTCCAAATATTCTCACGCCTCGAGAACGAAATTGATATTTTTTCAAATGGCTATGTATTATAGTGTCATAATCACAGGAAACCTACGAAAACATGAATTGAGACAACGCGTTTATCTCGACATTTAAATAATTAACATAATTAATTTTCATCAAAGTATTATCAAATAGGAAAATAATGAAAATATATGAAAATAATATGATTAAATTTTTCTAGAATGAAAGGAATAAATTGTTTAACAAGCACATGTTATTGTTAATAATAAAATTTATTATTATTATACAAAAAGAAAATAATTAGCTTAAGCGGATCAGATAGTTTTTATAAACTAAATTTTTTTAGATGTCTCTTGGTAAGCTAATATTACCTTAGCATAAGAAATGATCATTATTTTCATAACTTTATCAACAGGCGGTCCGATAATCGCGTAATATTTTCTGGCGGTATGTCCGATCACACCGCAATAAGCCATTCCTAAAATTAAATTAAGAAATATATTGCAATATAATATTGAAACAATATTTATACATGATTGAATTGTAATTTAAAATGTATTTATGAAGTTATTAAGGTTCATCCATGACTTCTCTAATTTATCCCGTAATCCTTTTTTTTGAAAGAGATTCTTCGGATAATTATATATATTAAATACAAGATAATTAAATAATCTATAAAGGAAAACACTTGTTTTTTGAAGAAGTCATACCTGTTGAAACGCCCACGAATGCGCTTTGAATACCGACAATGCCTTTTATTGTTTGCAATGCATGCATCGCAAAAGTAATCCCCTTTTTGCAAGATTCATCGATTTTAAACTGATCGTCATCGTCGCATCCGCGTAATCCGAATACGATACAGAAGAGAATATTTCTTTCGTATAGATTCACCGTGTTAATACAACCTGCGTATTGCGTAACTATGCTAAATGAACATTAAAATAAGTAATTCTTTTTCTCTTATTTTTTCGATAAATATAATAATATTAATATTACTGAATATTACTATTACTGTATTATATTAAATATAAAAATATATTTTTATTTTATATATTATTTATTTATTAAATTTGTTATTTACGGTCAATATTCTCGTAATACCTGTGTAAAAGTAGAAAACATTTATCAACCAAAAGAATTAATTCGTTGTCTGGATATTTATCGGGAATAATATCGAGAGATACTACTGTAATTCGTCTGATCTCCGTCAAAAGTCTTAACGATATATGTTTTTCGATCTACGAGAAACGAAGAATATTTAATAAATACACACAATCAAAATAATCAAAATAAAACGCAATATATTCGCGAATTCTTCTTTTTTTATCACAGTCAAGACAATTTATATTAAACAGTACCTGCTGAATTACCGGTTTTATCAAATAACTTTTCAACTGTGTAGCGAAATTTGGATTTATCTCTGCTATTGTAGAAATCGCTGTTGGTGGCATTCAATGTAAAACAATGCATTTTTCGAACAATGATCCAAATAAAGGTCGAAAACATTTCCAAAATCAAGAAATAAAAACATTAACAATTATTTATTAATTAAAGATTCACGAACCAAAAATTCTGACAGTTACGTTGAAAGAAATTGTTATATAAACGTAAAAAAGTTACTTTTTTATAGTAATAGGAGTACAATATTATAATACAATTATGATAAGGAATACGAACAATGATATACAAAACCATTTAGTAAATTTATTAAATTTTAGAAATTTAAGTGAATGCATGAGTTTTTGTGAGCAAATTTGGAACAACAAACTATATCATTTATTTCACCTGTAGAAGTTTTCATATCAATGATTTCTTCATCAGAAAGTAGTTTCCCATTAATGGATAAACGTGCTCTATAAGGTGACGATGGTCTAACAGAATTTGTTATAGATTTTCCCTTTACAGATATTTTATCCGAAATAGTGGAGACACTCGGCGGTGTCATGTATGTTAATTTTACGTCTGGTTGCTCTAATACTTTTATTATCTGTGATTATTGAAAAAAATCTTGCTGTATATTGAATGAAATTGATAGTATCTAATGCATTAATTTGCTAATTGTTGCAAATTAATAACATTTATATTATTTATTTCTCTCCAATGTAATAAGAATGATTCTGTATCAATATATCTCTTTATGAATTTTTAAATTATAGAAATTATGAAATTCGAATCTTTAATTTTGATTATCTTACACTAATATTAATTTTTAGTTTAAAAAAATTACAAACTTATTATTTATAAATTATAATTGAAGTATACCTTGATATTATTTGGAGTTTTAATGACGTATTCATATTGACTTGGCGTACAATGCTGCCACGCGCTCAATGATAATATTAAATCATTTGATAGAGAAACTTTATTGGCTTGCTTTAGTTCTTCAATCGGCGAACCAAAAATTATAAAATGTCGAGCTTCGTTATTACCGATCACTGAGAAAGTTACATCTCCGACCGAAACTGCTATATTTACTATTATTAAGAATTTTAAATTGATATTATCGAAAGATGAAAAAAGATATTTACAAATTCGTTTTATTAAATTAACTAAAAATATAAATATTTATTGTTTCTAAATTTATTTTTTTTGTTTTATATAACTTTAATCTAATTTTTATTTATTTAAAATCATATTTTTTAAAAGTCACTGTGAATATTGTATGAAAGTATATTGTTATAGCAAATACCTTTAAAAATTTCATCATCATCCAGGTTTGCTATAGACTTTTGTATGTGCATCGCGCATATAATTACTTTTTGTATGATGTCGTATATAAATTCATCATCGTGTATTTTCCATGTAGCTAATAATCCTTGAGCTATATTTTTAATTTATCTATATATATATACATGTATTTTTCAAAAGAATCGAAGCAAGAAGAATAAAAGATAAACGTATCAGTGAACATCAACAAATCATTAATCAGTTTTTTAAAATCTATATGCATATTTTTCTGTAATTATATAAAATAATTATATTATGAATCTTTTTCTATTTATTATATTTTTTAATCTACAATCATCAATCTATAGTTATGATATAATTAAATTATATTGTATTTAATTAATAATATATTAAATTGAAGAGTTATATTATTTCTTCAATAGAATAGAAATTTTTCATTTATACACATATCTTAAAAAATAATTTTGTCATGTAAAATTAATATATAAAAAAATGAGAACAACAAAAAAAAGAAAAACTTTAAAAAAAATTAATATTAATTATTATTTATAAGAAACATATGTTTTTATTTGGTTTTTATTTTCTCGTTCACACTGATGCGTATATCTTAACTTGAACAAAAGTCTCACCAGAAAATTTCAGTATGTCTCCCTCGTTGCAATATATTTCATGAACTATGATGTCGACGTACTTATTTAATATTGTAGTTAAGGCTGGACTTCCACCATTTTTATCATAAGTATACTTCTTAAATAATGTGGAAAACCCTATCATTACATTAATACGATTTTAAAGAATGTCAATTAAAAAAAATTCAAAGAAAAAGAAAAAATTGTCATCTACTTCGTCGTAAAGAGATTTAAAATTTGTGTGTCTGCGGAAAACTAACCAAAAATATTTAGATACATTAAAATAGCTCGAAAGCTTTGAAAACTTTTCTCTGACAAATCAGTGTCGTAGATTACTTCGTCGGGAACAAAAGTTGCCATAAGATGTATCTGCTCGTCTACATTACGTAAATGTAATGCCTAAAATTAAATAATTTTAATATATATCTAATATATAAAAACATAGTGGATGATACTCTAATGCATAAAATATATAAAATTAAAATTGAAATTGGACAAAATAGAGGATCATAAGGGCAAGAAAATAAACATCATAAAAGAATTGTGTCTAACCTGTTTTAATGTCAAACTATCTTTTTTAAAAATAGGGCCGAATAAATCTGGCGTCCAAGCTGGGACAAGATTTTCTTCATTTGTTGAATTATATGCCATTACTTACAATATATCTTAATGATATAATGACATATATAATATTGTTGTATTAAAAAAATATATTACTCTTTTTATAAGAAATGAAAATATGTATATCGATTACAATATAATCGATTGTAATATAAAATATTAATTACTTTATTATGACATGTATACAATATATATATATATATATATATATATATATATATATATATATATATTTGTACATATATTTAATATGTCTAAAGCATATAATATAATTATGTATTATATTATAAATTTATATATAATATAATATCATATATATATATATATATATATATATATATACATATATATATAATTCTAATTCTTTGGTATATAATTAATATGTACACATGCATGTCGATAATTTTTGAATAAGTTTTCCAAAAAACATTTATATAAATTCAGAATTAAAATGCATAATTAATTATATATTTTATAGAATAAGTTTCTCAAAATCTCTCATAACAAAGTTTATGCTGTATCATTGTATAATAATAAAAAAATCATGTTATCTTTTTTAAAAATAAGATGAAACAAATTCAATGTTCTATAGGCGTAACAACATTTTTATATATTATAACAGAAAATTAGTATTATATATTTAATAATTGATGTTTTAGACTGCTATTTTTATTTTGCCATTTCGTAAAGAATAATATTTTTATTCTTTCAAATATGACAATGTTATATATATATATATATATATATATATATATATATATATATATTACAAAATCATTAAAATAATAAAGAATAGCATTAATTTAACAAGAGATGATAATGTTGCCACAAGCCAAAGCTTGCATACCGAATCTGTTTAAACTTATTTAAAAAAAAATAGTTTGCTATTAAAACAAATTACATTCAAATTTTCTATGATATGTATTTTTTTATTCATTTTGCAATATATAATAAATTATTTTAAAGAAAGCATTTTAAAGAAAAAATTTAGATACTTTTTTAAAGAATATTTATATAGCCATTTTGTTTTAATTTTGTTCTAATTTTTATTAATATTATTACTGAAAAGCTAGAAAAGAATATAAAATTGTGAGAAAGCAAAATGAAAATAAAAAATAATTTAAAAAAGTGATGCGACGCATAAAAATGTATTTAATATTATACAATAATATTATTATTACCGATTATGAAAAACTTATATAAGATTTGTATAAACGTTTTTGAAAAAATTATTAATTTGCTGCATCGGATTCACATGCATAGTTATCCATATTACATGAAAGAAAGAAAAAATAAATAAAGATAATTTTAACTTTATAATATTCGAAAAAGTCATGTAATTTTGAGGAATGTTAAATTGAGTGCAGTATTATAAATAATACTGAAAAAATTAAATTAAGAAACAATAGTTATGTATTATTTGCAAAAGAAAAATAAGAATTTATAAGAGAGACTCAATCCTCATTTTTATTAAATTTTATTATTTTTTCCAGATATTGAAACCATTACTTATCTTGGTTTCTTTCCATCTGACTGCGAAAGTTAACTGTGTTCTAATTTATTATAAAAATAACTATAATTTATTATAATTAATACTGAAAAATTATTATAATTAACTGAAAATATATCCGCGATATAATGATCATGGTAGTGGTTTCAATATTTGTCCGTCATATTTTTTTAGTTCGTGATGCTAAATTGTGTCTATATATATATAAAGCATATTAATTTTTAATAGTTTTATTACTAGTAGTAATTCACTGTCATAATATTTTTATAACAGTTTTCATATCTTAATACTTTTCTTCTTGTATGTAATAGGAAGAAGTAATAATATAATAGTAGTAATAGCGCACAATAAATAGTGTTGACATTCCTTAATATTACACTTGTATTTTAATGTTTTCCATAAATAAGATGACTATTAAAAGTTAAGCTGTCAGCGCATTTTGCGCCGCATGCGTTGCACGTATATGGTTCATTAATGGTGTGAAATTGCATATGCATAACATGCATAAACTCATTTCCGAATGTAAGGTCACAGAACTTGCAGTTGTTTAAATTTACATTGTTTACTGTAACATTAATCTGGCTTTTCTTTTGTAAATCGTATTTACTGTTCGGAGACTCGAAAGATGTAATTTTATTTCGTTCCGTATTCTCTTCTACTACAAAACGTATCTGTGTTTTACTTTTACGTTTAGTAGCACCGGTAATCTTGAATTTACTGATACTCGATGGTTGATTTAGAATCTTATCGCTTTGCATTTGTGGCTGAGACTCTAGTTTCTCGGATGTTGAAATTTCGTCAGAAATTTTATTGGAAGAACCTGTTTTATTATTATTAGTTAGATTGAAATAATTATTGCTAGTCATACCTATATCATCCAACTCTTCCGATTCAGCTTTCCGTTTGTTAGATGTCGAGGTTGGATTAATATATTTTTTGTAATCGATAGGACCAATTTTGCTGTTAGGTGTTTCAAGATTAGCACGGCCTATTGTAGAGATATTCTGTGTTTTTAGCTGATATTCCAATTCATCGAATATCGCGAATTTGTGAGTATGATTAACATCGTTTTTATCGTTGCTAGGCCCAGCTCCAGAATTGTTAATTATTTCGAAATTGTTACGGTCAATCTTACTTAGGTTATCGATGTAGAAATCAACTGTTTTTTGCATAAAAAACAAATAATCCAAACGATTCTGCGAATCATTGCTCATTTCTATGTTCATATAAGATATCATGTTTTCACCGAATATATGCTTAAACATGTAGATGACATAATTCCAACAAGACGGATTTTGATTGTTTTTCCAATTGAGGATTGTGTCTGATATAAGATTATTCAGATTGTGTAGCATTTTCAACACCGTTGAATGTATCATTGAAAAATTTGACTGATTGTTATTGCTGTTAATATTATTATCAAACTCAACTAATTGTTGCTGAATCTGAGAATGAGAGATTAACGGTTCTAAAGAGACTTGTGGTTCTGGAGAAGCTGTTGATGAACTTGACTGGTTAAGATCACTTTGATCCGATTTGTCTTGATTTTTAACGACAGTATTTCGTCTGGGTCCACGTTTTTTACTGTATACATCGATAACGGCCGTTTCATTCTGCGTGCCATCCTCGTTCAGTACCAACACATGAGTATGATTTTTCTCTTTCATATGCTTCTTCATTGCATGAAGTAATCTGGCTTTAAAAGGACAATCCTTGCAATTGTACTGATGAACGTTCCAATGACGTACCACATGACTGTTTAACATTGACTTGGCCACACAACTGTATGAACAGTTAGCTTCCTCGCATTTAAATGGTCTGAGTTTAGTGTGATCACCGAGCCAATGGTAAACCATATGATGTTTGGGTTCGGTAACAAAAGGACAAAGACGGCAAGCGAGAGGGTACTTGTGATTCTTACGCATGTGCATCCAAAGCTCCTTTTTCATTTCTGTTACATCGGATCCCTTTGTCGTTACGAAGTCGCAGTCACGAAGTTTGCATCTTTTTGGTTTGACGTTTTTACGTCGTTTCTTCTTCTTGCTTCGAATTTCTTCAGGAAAATTATCTTCGTTGTAGAGAGACTCGGTATTCAGCGCTGGCGCTGGATCAATTTCGGATTCTGAATCGCTCATTCTTTTGCAATGCACGATTATATGATGATAATATTGAAATCTATAAAAATATACGATTTGGAAAAGATGTGTGAATCATCTTTGAATTTTGTTACATAAATGATGTGTGTGTGTGTGTGTGTGTGTGTGTGTATGTGTGTGTGTGTATGTGCGATAAATTATACATTGATGTACGATTTGGAAAAACTGTACAATTTTTCGAGTTTTAGTAAAGGATAATATATAATGATAAGAAATTATATATCGAGAGAACTAGCTGAGATGATAAATTGTACATTGAGTGTAATTATAATCATATGTTGCAGATATAATAAATTTAAATATAAAGTTTTAAAAAAATGCATCGATTTTAGTCTATCGATCACAAACATAGTGCAGAAATATATATTTATATATATGCCCATATATTCATTATTTATACTTTATCAAAAATTTATTTTATATATTTTGTCATTCCCAATACTTTATATGTATATTAATAATTAAAAGAATATTGATAATTAAAAGATTAATTGTAATATACTTACAATCTTGTGGGCTTAAAGTCACACAATTCACATTTCACAGAACCTGTAAATACATGATCAACGTCTCCACGTTTTCGAAAAGCTTCTGTTTCGGTTTTGATCAATTCAGAGTAATTCAGATTTGTTGATTCAGTCATAAGCGATTGTTGAAAGTAATTTGGAAGGGATAGCGTTTCATTCCGTTCCCCGTCCAATTTGATACTCTGAGGCGAACAGCCAATGCCAGAATCATCGTATCCATGTTTTTCTGTCATCTTCTCTTTCTATAATCATATTTTTAATAAAATTTTTTTATTAAAAGATAAATTAATTTTTTTATATAAAAGATAAATGAATTAAAATTCGAAAAAATTTTATGCAAAATCAAATAATTTAATTGTCAAGGGATGCAAGTATATTTGAATTAAGAAATTTATAAAATAACTATTATAAATTGTAAACTTTTCACCTTTTTTCTCTGTTTTATTACACATCTATATCTTGTTTTTTCTTTATCATGTAAATTTATTAGGTGATAATTTCTCTTCTAAAAAATTCTTTCTTATCTGATAAATATGTAATGTATAAAAATGTATATATAATCCTATTCTATTAATCTTATTCTATTAATATCAATATTACAATATTATAATATATGCATTTTTGAATACTTATATATACATATACATATATATATATATATATATATATATATATATGTATAAAATAAATAAATATATTCACAAAAATATCTAACACTATATTTCAAATATAGCGAAGTATATAGTATATATTATATTATATGCAGAATTTATATATCTTTCCTAAAATTATTGCGAAAATTCTAAAATTAACTTATATTTTCGTATATTCGAATGACAACTGGATTTTATATTCTGACGTTCTTTAAACTTTTGAGAGATTTTGAAATGTAGAGTTATATTATATATAAAATATTAAAGTTTAGAATATAGAATTGAATTTATATTAGAGAAAATATATATTTGTTTACTAGAATCAAATTTAATTCTCTATATTCTGTAATTCTTTAAACAATTATTTTTCAACAATTGCATCCTTATTTGTGTATAATAACATGCTGTAAAGCATAAATAAATAAAAAAAACATGAAGTAGATGTGCAAAGATAGAAGGAAATGTTTCATACTTAAGCTTCGAAAATACGAGCTCGATATCAATACGACTTCCATTGTATTCATGCCGACATTTTGTTGTCTATAAAGGGGGAAGGGTCCAATGAGAAGGATACAGTACGCAATGGCGTGGAGATTTAGAGAGACGGAAAGAGAGAGACAAAGTTTAATCGGAGAGGGGTTGCACGATTACTCATCACGGTTCTATCATCTAAACCGAACGAATGGCAGTGCTGCTTCTCGGCAATCTGCCATCATTCATTTATGCATTGCGAATTATGATTTTATATTATTTAATTTTTTTTACTATTTTCAAAGTGGTAAAATCTGAAGATAAAATGATTATCACGTAAGATCGCACGCACAACGGAAAATTTAGTTTAAAAAATTATATTTTTTATTTAACATAATTATTTTATAAAATGACTAAAACAAACATAATCAATATTACAGAATAAATTTTCATTCATCTAAACATGATTATCTATTGTTTATTTATTTATTTATTTATTATAGCTTCATTTTTTATTTTATTCTCAGATAATTTTTTTTCTTTTTGATTTTTTAATAAATTATAATTTTAATGAACATAATTCAATCGCAAATTGTTAACATATTTTATTTTTTTAAATTATTTAAAATAATTTAACAACAATATACGATTGTATTATATTCATTAAATTAGAGTAGAATATATATATATTTTTTTATTATCTGAAATAGAAGAACAATAGAACATTTGTTGCAATTGAAATACTTTTTTACTTCATTAAGAAGGAATATTTTTTACAAACTTATGGTTTTATCAATTTTCTTAATACTTATTCTGTTGCATGTTGTTATATTTCTAAACATGTAGAGATTTATGACACTATTTTTTAAAGACATTGGTCAACTCATTGTTCGAATTGAATTGTTTAACTTGAATAGTAAATGATATATTTTTAGAAAGAGCGTGAACAAAGTTTTCCTGCTGTTACTCTAGAACTCTTCTTCATGGCAAGTCTATTTTCAATTAACTCTAAAAGTATTAAAAGCTATAAAGGAAATTTGGTAGTTCATGCTGGTTTTTAGCAAAACAATCTCTTTTGGGATGTACACTAACAGAAAACTGAGAAGAGCTCAAGAATGACAAACATATGTTAAATAGATATAGCTTTTCTTTTAAAGAAAACACGAATAAATGTTCGCGAGTTTGATTCTTTTTTTATTACAGGTTATCTTATGTATATTACAAATTTTTTATAAAATGAGTCTTTTTATAAAAAAAACAGCTATGAAGATTCGACTCTGAATCATTTTATAAAATGAATCTATAGAAATTCTAAAACCTGTACGATTTAATTTATGTATAAAGATTTTGATGTGATTTTAATACTGTAATTTCTCTTATTTTGTAACGTTGCTTTTACTTTGAATAAAAATAAACTTTCAGTTAGAAATGCGAACATGTGTAACGTAAGAATGAAATTAATAATCGTATGTTCACTCATGAAACAAAATATTGCTTCTTGTAATATTTTCTAAAATGATTTTTATGATTATTTATTCAAATATATACTCAAATAAGTTGGAAATATTTATAGTAACACTTGTTATGAATTTGTAATCATTGCAATGATTGTAATAATTGTAATAATTGTAATAATTTGTAATCATTAAAAATTTATTATTATTTAATTTAATAATGAATCAGAGCATGCTTGAAAGCTTATAATATGATTCTGTGGTTAATTAAAATGTTTAATTTGATAAATGCCATTATTTATCAAGAAATATTTTTCTCCATTTATAAGAAAAAAAAATATTTACATTTTATTAAAGGAGAATACACACTTTAATATTGTAATTTGAAAGTCAATGAATCATTAAATAAACAAACATTTTTCTTAATAATTTCGATTTCTAGTCCTAAAATTTCAAATGAACAGTACTAAAGGTCAAAATGATGGTATTTTCAAATTCCAAACGAGACATACTTCTCAAGATCATAATAATAAATAGAAAAACATACGACAAAGCGACGATATACTGGAAATTTCAATTGCGGAATAGGACAGACGAGGAAAAATCGCAAAGCTATATTTATATATAGAGAGAATGAAAAATTAATAAATTTATAATATTAAATAAATCGAAGACTTCGAGTGGAGGAAGGACACTATAATTGAATAATTTTAATTATTTCCAAAATAAAGAATGGCTTTTTATCAAGAAATATAAAAATAAAACATGCTTTAATATTAAACATTTGCAACAGCATTCAGAGATGTATAAATAATTTATCTTGATATATCTTTTTCTTCAAATCTCTTTTACAAATAAAGTAAAAGATAAAACAAACAAAAAAAGATTTGGGCAAAAGTCGGATAAATTTTAGATATGTTTTAGATGATGAACGGGATTAATATATAGAGATAAACGTATAGAGAGACGGGATTAATGTATAGAAATAGTTATATTACGATGTAAATTTTCACTCATTTTAAACAATCAATTCCTAGATAAGATTCAGGATAGAATTTTAATTTACTTATAATTTTTATGTGTAATATACAGGAAACAGTAAAAAAGTGTAATACATATATGTCAGAATATTTGTTCAAAGTAAGTTTAATCAAGATTAAGTGATATTCTAGTGATATTACATTATACCTTGTTTTATAGCCGATCACGTTTATCAGTAATGAACCTTGTTGTTGTCCAGCGCCTATTTTTCCGAGAGCATTTTATTTTTTTTTTCACAGGTCACACTCACAAATTAATATTGTTAAAAACCGTCACGTATCTTGGAATAGTTATTCTCTGCTAATTTGTTCCTTTTTATACTATCTCGCTAATATAAAAGCGATCAGAAAGTTGCTGATATCTCACAAACAGATTCATGAAACGCGGATGCGAAAAAGCCTAAACTGTTGTTTATTCCTCTGGTTGAGTCATATAGCGATAATAATTGAATATCCATTAAAATCGTCTTTTTACAACAGGCACCTCTATTAGAATGTATTACAGGTAGACTATGACTTTACAAATGATCGAAAACGACGAATTCGAGGAGCAATAAGCTTCAGCTGAGTGTTCAGAAGAACTCTGAAAGAAATCAAGGTCCCATACATATATCAGTGAAGGGGCAGTTACCCTCTCCTCTCATTTTGCTCAGCCAATCATGACACAGTTTTCCCCTCGAAAATTCATGAACACGACATTTGTAGCCCTTAACCCCCACTTTTCTCAACTATCAATTCATCGGTGTCCACTGCATATTTTTTTTATCAAATACAACTCCTACCGTTCACTTCTACCGTTTGAAAGATACGAATCCGCTATATTTCAGTAGCTTCTCTTGGGATTACTGTTATGCGCCAGTTAAGCTGGTTACGTCACGCTTTTTGTCACGTGAAAACATCTCTTTTCTTACTTATTTTTTCTTTATTTTCTTGTATCGTGACTCTATGAGACTCTATGAGAATTGACTCCGAAAGTGATCTTTCGAGAGATCACATTAAAAAATAACGGATTTTTAAAATTTGCGAATTAATTTATCATTATGCTAATTGATTAGCATGATTAAATATTATTATTTTCATAGTCAAGTATTATTGTTTAGTTACTTGGTTTTCTGAAATGTTGCAAATTAATTTCTGACACCATGAAGAAACTTCGCTTAACTAATCTCATTTCATTTTGAAAATTAATCCTTATTACTTTTAAAAATGATTTGCTATAAGTATGTGTGTATGTAACATAATGACTAATAAAAATTTATTTCCGGAAAAGATTGTTGATAAAATTCCAAGAATGTTTAATTCTTTTAAGTGAAAATTATAGATTAAAAATTTAAATAGAAAAGAAATCAGAAAAGAACATTATACATAGTAAAGAAGACTTGCCTTTTTCTTTATCTTTTCTCTAGCCTTTTTTCATTGGTTTTTTTTCATAAAAGATATTCAAAATAAAATTCAATTAAGAAGCAAATTTAAAAATTTGTTACTTTAATCTGACCTTAGAAATACCACATTTCTACTGCTAAGTAATGACTCACAGATTCTTTTTTTGGTATAAAACGCCGTCTGCTTTCCTTCTAACGTAGACAGCCCTCACCCTTTTCCTAATATTGGAAAGGAGGTAGAATCGTCTATTAAAAAGTAAAATTTTAAAATAGAAACTTTTTCTAAAATCGAAATACTTATGTAAGTACATATGGACGCACGCAGATTAAAAGAAATATTATTAAAATGCATGCTCTCTCTGAAATACTCTATAAGATTTTTCTTTACTTTCATTTATTCACATTAAGAATCAATTCTGCGAAACTCAAATCAAATCAATGTTTTATAGTGAAAAAAATCGTAAGTTGTCATTTTTTTACTTGAAACATTTAAATTTTAAATATGTCATAAATACATCGTATATGCTTAAATATATTTTAACTAGAAAATGATATCTCATTTGTATTTAGTCACGTTAACGACTTTTCTTAGTATTCTAACTTTTTTTTTTAGTATTCTATAATTTCAAAAATAGTTGGTCAGAAATTAAGTACTTCGAAATTATTTGAATATGAGTTTTTGTTTTTCTTTTAATGATTGAGTTCTATTGATAAATTTTATAATTTGACATTTTCATGCTCGTGCTTTTATATATTTATATTTTTATATACTTATATATTTTAAATACTGCTAAAACGACAGATACCAATAAATCGACAGATACCAGATACAATCGGTAATAAATTTTTCTCTAACTCTCTCTTTTTGCAACAAGAAAAGTCTTCCAACCATTACCGCTTCAACCTTTTAATTTTTTTAACTCTTTTTTGTCCAGAGAACGGAACATTCAATAAATTTACAATACGTTTACAGTTCAATCAAAATACTTGTGCGTGTGTACGCGGCGTTCTTTAACAATATCTATATTCTTTTTTTTCAGGAGAGTCAAAAGTGCAGAATATATTTTAACCCCTTTTTTTCCTCCAGCACTAAAACGATTTTTTGTAAACCTTGCGACAATTTCAAACTCTAAATTTTTTTCCCTAAAGAGCTATTATTAAACACAAAAGTTATTTTTATATTATTTCTAAAGGATTAACTGTAAAAACACTGGACAATGGATATTATTTTATAGAAACATACTTCTATCTAAAAATTACGTAGTCTAAGAAGTTTGTTTCATCTATATTCTTAAGTTTATTTGTTGCTTTATATCATTAAACTAATTTATTAAAATTTATAGGAAAGTTTGTAATAAAATTATTAATTCTTGTTGAAAGGTAACATTAAAAGAAACCGATTTTTAAATACATACTTATACTAATACATATATTAATATTAATAGAAAATTCCACAAAATTTTTTATTTACGATTTGACACATGCAATTGCTATTTTTTTGTTCATTTTTCTTTTGATATCATTAAAATCATACATAAATATCTAGTATCATTAGATATAAAAATACAGAAAAGAGCTATTGTCATTAGATACTTTTCAACTTATCATAATGCATATTTCACTTATTGTTTTAAAAATATATTTTTAATATTTTGTAACTTGCTTTCTTAACTTCTTTTGTGACGTCACTTATTTTATTATTCCTTCTCTCTCTCTCTCTCTCTTTCTCTTCTCTTTTCTTTATTTACTGTTAAAATTGATTAGATAATAAATTGGAATAAATTGATAACGAGCAGCATTAATATATCCTGAATAATTTTTTCAATTATTAATATTTTCAAGTTTTCTTTTTTGCGATATAACTATTATTACAAATTTAATTAACTTTTCCAAAAAAATATCTGTATTTTTATTTACTAAATTCCTTTACATATATATATATATATATATATATATATATATATGTGTGTGTGTGTGTGTGTGTGTGTGTGTGAGATGATTTTAGAAGTCTAAACAAATATTTTATTTGATATTTTGGTAATTTTAATTCTATCTAAGCTCCCAAGATTATTAAAGCATATTTTTTAATCATTTAATTTAATATATAAATTTGAATAGCCCTCGACTTAAAAGTTTATAATTATACTTTTATTGAGCAAGAAAAAATGAGTAAAAGCAAGAGAGAAAAACGCGAGAAAAATTTTAATATGTAGAATATTTGATAAAGATAGGCCAACGCTTGAGAGCAGATAGAGCGCAGTATCTAAATAAAAGGTCCTTTACTATTTTGGAATTTTGCAATAATTATTGAAATATTAATTAAAAAGGATTAGCGATTTAGCGTTTGTTTCGCACGTTTAGATTATGGAATGTGTTTTCTATGTCATATGGTAAAAAATTTGACTATGCGTTTCCTGCAACTCTTATCTTTTCGTTACCATGTGACACTTCTGTTGACACACCTAGAACACATATCCTCTAATCTAGCTACGATATATATAGGTAATGTATAGTAAGCGAATAATATATGTAAATTTTCTACTTATTTTGCTTGAAAAATATTAAACAAAAATCTGTAGAATATATTTATGAACAAAATCTGTTACATTTTTTTTCGATTCATAAAAGAAATGTGTACTTTAATTAACATACTTTAGTTGTGAAATATCAACAATAAAAATGTTCTCTAATCTAAAATAATTTTTATTTATCTAAATTTAAATTTAAATTCAGAAATATCTAAATAATGTAATTAAATTAAAAAATTTTTTAAACATACAATGAATAAATATGGGTGGTCAGCACTATTTTGACACAGTTTTCATAGGCAATCTGTAAACAATGATTAGACATCATCTACGGACTATTCAAGATGCATAAATGGCTAAATTTAAGATAGATTTAGCTAAAATTTGTTAGAGAACTTGATATAGAAAAAATTTGATGTAAATCTACAATATTTTGAGTGATCAGCAAAGGCCGATGTAACAGTTATGGCAGTCTTGAGTATGAAAAAAAATATTTTTCTATAAAATAAGAAATTCCAAAGTAATGTAATCATAGATTATTAAAATTAATTAGAATTATATCATTTATATTTTTGATAGCTTTCATAAATAATTTATGATGATATTTTTCTGAACTTTAATAATAAGCGATTATTGTTTCTTAATACCAATTAATTATATATTTTCGGACATATGTCCGAAAGAGAATCCAATAAAAAAATTTCATAGAACATAGATATTAATCTTACAAATTTACAATTCACAATTTCAAAATACACATGTAGCTGTGAGACCTACCGCATCGCGGTAGTTTATTTTAATTTATTGACTTAAATGCATTGACTTAATTTGCAAACAAATGGTGAAAACAGGCAGGAAATATAGAAATTGCATTTTTTTCGCAAGAAAAATAACGGTATTCCTGCAAATATAAGTTTCAATGAATACCGCCTCTACTGTCCTTTCATAGAAGCAATTGGGACAATGCATGGCCATAAATCTGTCAGCTTTAGAAAAATTTACGAACTATATTTTTTAGCACTTTGTTTATAATTAATGAAGTGAGAAATCAATTGCCTTTCAATATTGCGACAATACGCAGAATTAAAAAAGAAAAGGAACTCAAGGCCTTGAAAAAAGATTCAGGCAAAAAAATAAATTGCTCTACTTTTTTTACGCTTTTGTACAAAACGTAAAAAAATTTCTCTCTATGCTTTAAATGCATCTAACTATACATTCATACAGAAATGTTTTATTAAAATTTAACAAAAAAAATTTAACAAAAATCATGCAGTTTGTTTTTTGTCATAATTAGCAATTTGAAATTTATTGGAGAATTATTAACTATTGGTCATAATCTATTAACTGCATTTACGATTTGTTTTTCATATTTTCATATTTTTTTAATATCAAAATTGCAGAATCTGCTATATTTAAATATTAGAAATATGCATATGTCATATTCATTATCATATCGACTTTAAGTTAATATTCCGAAAAATTTATTTAAAAAAAAAATAATATTATTGCATCTGCAATTATTTATAGCATTCTGTACATATGTGTAATATAAAAAATAGGAGAAATAACTGCAAGGCAATTACTTAAAGTATTTAAGTATTACAATGATGGAAAAGTAATTTAGTAGATACACTGAGAAAAATCGTTTGATTA